CGCCAACGAGGACATGCCGGTGGAGAAGATCCTGGAGGCCGAGCTGGCCGTCGAGCCCAAGACGGAGACGTATGTGGAGGCCAACATGGGGCTGAACCCCAGCTCGGTGAGTGCCGCCGCCCACCCTGCCTCTGCGAGGGACCGTGGGCCCCGGCGAACGCCTCTGGGGAGGACCCATCTGCCGGGCCGCCGAGGCGGTGCAGCCGGGCCCGGGCGCTGCCTTTCCGATTCCTGGAATCAGAGCCGGGACTTTGCCCTTAACCTTCATGCTGCACGGGGGTCTCTGGCCTGTCGCCCAGTGGGTGACGGGGACCCCGCATCCGGCCCAGGTTTGCAGGCAGCATTACTTCTAGACTTCTGTGTCTCCCCTGGGCCCTGGGCTCAGGGCTCAGGCTCTGGGGCTGACCCCGAGGTTGTCCAGCCCGCCCTGACCGTTCTTCCCCTGGCTCAGTGGCCCAGGTCCTCCCACCCAACCCCAGGGCCTTTGCACATGCTGCCCCTGCTGACTCCTCAGGCTTCAGTCTCAGCTACGGTGTCGCTTCCTCAGGGGGTCCTGCTCCTGCCAAGGTGGGCCTGGCCCTGTTAGGTGGGCTCGGCCCCCATCTTTCCCGCACGGCCCTGGCGCTGGCTCGGTGGTGTGTGTGAATTCCCCCTCATCGCCATGAGGCTGGGGTGGCCTCGAGCTGCTCCTCACTGCCCACCTTCGGTCAGGCACAGCGACACCTCTGTGCGGCGGGCGCGCACGCATGGCCCTCTGCCCCAGTCTAAGAATGTGGGGTCCCCTCTTACCTGCTCAGGAGGCTCCGGCAGGCTGAGGCCCCCAGTTCCCTGCACTCCGTGACCCCGTGACCCGGGGTAGTGCGGCCTGGCCCACCTCTCCAGTCCCGGTGAGGGGAGGGAGGCAGCTGTGAGGGTTTCAAGCAGAAACCCGTGTCGAGCAGAAACTCCAAAAATACCGAAGGCCCAGGAGGGCGGCCAGCACCTAATTCTGTCGAGTCGGCGTTACTTGGAGAGAACAGATCTGGCACCTGGTCTCCCTGTGGTTTCAGAGGAAGGGGGTCGAGGCTACAGATGGGCAGCTGCCGGCGGGGGGCACCTGTGAGCCCATGCAGAGCGCTTCCGCGTCTGTGTGACCTCGCAGCCGGGGGCCTCGGGCCTCTGCTGGGTCCTGCCACTCGGGCTCCGGGAGCTCCTGGGGCCGTGCTGTTGAGGCTGCTCATTTAGTGGGAGTCGAGGCTCAGAGACGTTGGGTGTTTGCCGGTGGCCACACTGCTGGATGGAGCTGGATCCCCTCGCAGCCCCGCCCCCGAGGGACCCCCTCCAGGCGCCCCACCTCAGACCCCTTCACTCGATCACGTCTGCAAAGCTGCTTTGGCGGTGTCAGGCCCCAGCCCTGAGTCAGGCTCCGGGGACGCGGACGAGGCGTCTTTGGGGGCCT